AGAACTGTCTTGACATTTGTATTGAAAATCCTGACATTGGTGTTGGTTAACAGTTGTTTTGAGTTCCAGATGTTCTTCAGTTGTAAATATGCTGCTCTTGCTATACCGATTCGCGCCTTCACATCTGCATCAGACCCATCATGTTCATCAATGATGCTGCCCATCGTAGAAAACAAACTCGCTAAAAACACGCTAACTAGTGAACTCCAGAACATATCGTTTCTTCCTATTTTGAACTTAAAAGCTAGTTACGTTTATCTAATCTCAAAGTTGTTATACACATAGAGTTCAAACTCACCGTTTATCACTACGATATATATGGCACTATATTTTTCTATAAAACTAGTGTGAGATAATGAAGAGGTCGCTATATAAATAAATTTGCTATGTACTGAATCTTCATTTATATTTATGATAATGAAACAATAACAATGATGCCTTCATTCTTTTTAATCTTGGGTAAAGTTTACATATTCATTTTGTTTATTCATTCTTCTTGTTGATTTGAAAATGTATTCTTAATTTTTCTAGGCATAAAGTGTACTTATGTGTGTAGTTGTTTACGTTTATGTAATGTGCATCATCAAACTATTCTATCTGTTTATTAAAACTTGGTGAAAATACTGTAAAAGGAGTTTATTTCATTCCTGGTTACACTTATAATCAACATTGAACCTGGCAAAAATTTGTATTATGCCAAGTTACTATATCATTTTAGTACGATGAAATAGAAGATGTTGAACTTGGTAAATCAGTTGATGAAGTTGTGAATCTTTATCAACTGAGATGGTTGGGCCACATGTTACGTATACCTGAACACCGATTACCACGACGTGCAATGCTGACTAGTGTTGGGAATGGTTGGAAGAAAGTTAGGGATGGCCAAACTAAAACGTGTAGCATCAGTACTTGAAGTCACTAACTTATGGTCTGTGCCTTGTTGGTAGATGCGGACTACTTGATTGGGGTCCACGAATGGTTGGAGACTCTTGGTGACATGGCTCAGAATCGATCACAATGGCGTCGGTGCATACACTCCCTGTCTTCCCTTAAACTAAGAGATTAAAATCGCTTCATATCTTTCTTTCTACGAACTAATTCTTTCTTCCTGTACTATATCCTTACATAAAATCTTTCCTTTATATATTACTACCATTGAAGCAACTTCTTCTATGAATTCGGTGTTCATCTTCTTAGGTTTAGTAACTTGGACCGATGCATATATGTGCCTGGTCCTACGTTGTAACTGACTGGGGGTTGAAATAATCGTGGTAAACATGATAGTGAGAACACTTGAAGACTGAGATTATGATTCGAGATGGAAATGAAAAAAAAGTTTATATATATATATATATATATATATATATATATATATATATATATATATATATATATATATATATACACTGGAACTCAAGATGGAGGAGAAGATAAAGAGTGAATAAATCTGTATTTCTGTGACTAATTCTGAGCCGTGTTATCAAACTTCTCCAACTATTGATCGTGTTTATTTTTTAGACCCCCAGCCTTGTAGTTTCAACCTATCAACATGATTCAGACCAATAGACAGTGATTTCTTGGACTGATGCTACGTTTCCGTTTGTTTAATCCTAACTTTCTTTTAGTTTACCCCTACTCATCAAGCATCAGGGAATTTCTTTTCAATCTATGTCCTGTTATCGCTATACTTTTTCATCTCCATCTTATACTACTTATTCATGTTGGTTTCGATTTTATCTGTGTAAGAAATAACACATTTATTTATAGATGAATGCGCCATATATTTTTATTAATATTCGCTTGATATTGTTTTGCTTGAATTTTTCCCATTGATGTTTATAACTGCAATTAATCAGTCACTTATTAGTATATGAGCATACTCTGTGTATTGCATCGATATTGCCTTAATTCAGGACTCAGTAGCTAAATGGATAAGGAAATGGCGTTTAGTGCGAACGGTATGGAGCTGGAGTCCCATAGTGAACATCAACTCTAGGATGCAGGTATATCCAGCTGATGAATCTCAGATAGGAAGAAACGCGCATCTTAGATTCAACTGCTAGCCACTATCCATCTTTGCTTATTACTAATATGATTAAATTATTTAAATTATGTGTGTATCATACATTTTCCGTTGAAATACACTTCAGCAGATTCAATTTCACAGATGTATATTATTAATATGTTAAGAAGGAAAATTGAAATTGTATGTTTTCATGTTATTTAAGTTGGATATTATTAATTAGATTGACGTACTTATTTATATGGTTATGTAACATTATTCATAAAAAATATCTGTTACCGACCGCCACCAGCACCCTGTCTCCCACAACAACAACAAAAACACACATTAAGCTATAACTAAATTATTTGTATCCAATGCTGGCAATAATTATTAGCTGGATAGATGTAAATAGAATTAGAAAGTAAAAAAATTTCACCGAGATTATCAAATAACCAACCCCCCCCCACCGACACATAGCACTGTTCTTTAATCAATACTAAGGTTTTTTTTGGAAAGAACTTTGTTTTATTTTTAAAGTTTTATTAGTTCATATATGTTTTGTATCTATCCATTTCTTTTATGTGTTTACCGTTAAATCTTCCCCCCCTTACTTTTTTTCTTCAAAAAAAATGTGATTTCATTTATATTTGCTTGTAGGCTATTTATTTATAGTTTGCAATTGTATAATGTGTAATATGGGTAATTTTGTTATTAACCTATACAAAGTTAGTTATGTCAATAAGGAAAGAGAGAGGGAGCGGGTGGGGGATAATATAATCAATCGTAAAAGTAGCAATGATAGTAATATGTTGTCGTACTTAGGAGAATTGAAATACCCATCTTTAATTCCCTATTTTTTTTCTCTGTTATCTTGTTTGTCTACCACTACTGTAATATACGTGTTCTGTTTAATTTTTTTTTCAAAATATTGTGTTTACATTAGTGATAATAATACTATTAGTAGTATGATATAAAGTAAGATATTCAGTTTTTTTTATATATTTGTTTGAACAAATAAATATTCGCGCAAAAGGGTACCGAATAAATATGCTCAATATAAATCATTCAATTTGTGTGAGGGCTAAGATACTCCTCAGGTGCCCAAACCGAAGCAAGTGATTTTCTTGGGAGGACACACTTAGAGCCTTCGGCCTACAGGTCTAATCCACAAGGTAGTGAAGAAACGACAGGAAATGCAGTCACATAAAGATCAGTGACCAACAATTGGTTCATACGCCATTTTTTCCTTCAGAATACTGGAGCCCATGTACACCATTGCTTTGTAATGAGGGTTTTCCAAATCCCGTAGGTGGATCTTCTATATTCAACAACCCGGTTAAAGCGCCGGACATTCGATTTTAGTTTTCTGAATTTCGTAACCAACAGTAATACGGCGAGAAGGCAGTGAGTATATAATATGTCTTGTCGATTGAACGTTACTTGTTATATCTGGTCGTCAATGATTGTTGTGTCGGAGACACTTATCATTTATACTCAAAACAAGGGACTTCCTCAATTTCCACGACGCGAAATTAAAAACACAAAGACTGGTAAAAATTAAGATTTATCAACTCTTAAAACATGACGACGATGACCCTAGTCGAAAGCACACTCATTTATATATTGATTGTACATACACTTTGATTAATAATTAGGATGAAATCATATATATATAAAATACTCACAGTTATAACAAATCATATGCTGAATATAGTTCATAGTCAATGGAATACAAGAATACCGTATGTTATACATAATTAAATGTCACTTTTACAATTTATTGATCACTGGGTGGTGATCAATGTCTTGCTTGTCTAGTCCTTATCACCACCCAGTGATCAATCGATTGTAATTACATCTCAGTCCTACAGGAGGTTAGTCACGGCTCGGATAGCTCAGTGGTAACGTCTCTGACTGTGAAGCTGGGTGACACGAGATCGAATCCGCCAGGGAGCACCAGTTCCCTCAAGATTACAGGTACACCTTGCTGACGAGTGCCAAGTAGCACGAAACCCGTGTCCAGGGTTTCCTGTTGACTACCTCCAACCACCATCTAAATGTCACTCTGGGAAACAGAAACAAATACTATACTGAGTAATTTTCACATTGAATAGAAAACAAAAGTAATGTTGAACAAAACTCACAATGAGTAAATCAATCGAATTCTGACTTTTCTTCCCATCATATCAATAGGACTTCCCTTGTAGTGGCTGTATACGCGTGGCCATGTATGAGAGGATTTTGAGAGGGAGAGTTATCTCTCCTTATTCGCGATCGTACCAGAGCATTTGCGGAAATGATATTTAGTTGCTGAGTTATTGTAATCGAAAAGTTTAAATTTTTCAGTTACAGCCGATTTATGTGTTTTTTGAATCATTAGCAACGAGAACTGGTCCATTTCCAATACATTAGACTGTACAAAACAAAACTTGTGTTAAGAAATAGTGAGCTTATATATACATATAATTCACTCTAATCATTATCTACCAGTTTCATACAATTTTAATGGATTTTTGTATTCATAATCACAATAGATATTCATTATCTCTGTATATGTGTATTCCGCTAGTGTCATTAGTTCTTGATGAAAATTACTTTTAGATTGTATAATAGGCGGCAGCAATTCGGAACTCTCCCAGTCTCCCACATTGTATGAGCATTCCATGTACCTAAATAAATGGTTGCTCTGGTTGTCAGAAAGAGCATCAACCTCGTGACTTCCGAAAGAACTCGGCTTTCACCATGAGCCGTCATAGCTCTTCTAAATGAAGACCTTCTAACTGTCAGGACAGAGTTTAAATGGTTTAAATATTTTTTTCTGGTTAGGTTTTTTTAGCGAGTTAGTTTTCTGTAGGATGGGGTCTTTTACCCCATGCCCAACCCTCCTCCTTTATCCTAGGCTCCAGGTGGAGTTGATTGTGTAATAACTCTTATGTAATATCTATTCATTATCATGTAAATATAATTTAATGATATCACTCTTTTATTATTTTAGTACACTCAACCAATTGGTGAAGATATTAATTCAACCATTCAACCCTTTAATCATAATGATGATTCATCTATAAGTATCAATTCATCATCAGTACAACTTCCAAATGTTTATTTACAATCAACTGATCCTACTATTTTATCAATGAAAAAATCTAATTCTTATGAATTCGATGATGAATCTACAACAATGTTATTAACTAATAATAATACACCTATTATCCCTACTATTGTAGATGATCGTATTGATAAAAGTGTAAATGATCATAATAAAATGACAAATTCTATATGTACAACTATTACCTCTTCTACGAATACTGATATTAAGAATATTCGATCAACAATCAATCCAACAAATACATCAATATCCATGACAACATCATCAACAACAACAACAACAACAATGCCCATGACTAATATCACCTCTATACATAATCATTCTCTTACTTGTAGTCAACATAATTTTCATAATACTACTACTACTACTATTAATACTTCAACTACAACATGTACAGTTAAATCAATAAATCATCAACAAATCTTATCAAATACTATAATTACTAACCCTATTGACAATAATAATAATAATAATCATGATAATAACCATACAACTAGTACATTAGAACGTAATAATTTAAATAAAAAATGTAAATCTAAAATGACTGATGAAATGATACAAGAAAAACTTCGAATGATTGTTAGTATTGGTGATCCAAATAGAAAATATCAAAAATTAGAAAAAATTGGTCAAGGGTAAGTTGATACTTTCTTACATATGATAATATCTATATATGTCTGATATGTATTTATGTATCTGAATTATATGTATGTATAATTGATCAGTAGTGGTAATCTTGTTTCAAATGTAAGTGATGCAAATTTTGTTGGTCAGTCAGTCAGTCAGTTACAACGTAGGACCAGGCACTTATATGTATCAGTCCAAGTTGCCATACCTCATTAACACAACAAGATGAACACCGGATTCATAAAAGTAGTTAATTCAGAGATGGTAATATATAAAAGAAAGATTGCATATAAGGATATAGTACAGGAAGAAAGAATTAGTTCGTAGAAAGAACGATATGAAGTGATTTTAATCTCTTAGTTCAAGGGAAGAAAAAGAGTGTATAAATCGACTCCATTGTGATCGATTCTCAACCATGTCACACACCGTCTCCAACCATTCGTTACGATAGTCACGTGAACCCCAACCAAGTAGTTCGCACCTATCAACATGGCTCAAACTAGAAGTTATTGACTTCAACCACTGATGCCACACGTTTTAGTTTAGCCATCCCAAACTTTCTTCCAACCATTCCCAACACTAGTCAGCATTGCACGTCGTGGTGATCGATGTTCAGGCATAAGTAACACGTGGCCCAACCATCTCAGTCGATGAAGATTCACAACCTCATCAACTGATTTACAATCATTCCCTAGTATCCTGCGCCTAACCTTACTATTACTTACCCGGTGATCCCAACAGATGCCATCAATATTTCTAAGGCATCTGTGGTCAAATACTAGTAGTTTACATGTATCTTCTACTCTTAACGGCCATGTTTCTCTGGCGTAAATTAAAACAGAACGGACTGCCGCGCAGTATACTCGTTCTTTTATTGATAGACGGATATCTCGCCTTCGCCAAATTTGTTGGGCAATATATTTGTTCACCCGGGAAACTCCATTCACATCACCCCCCCCTCAAAAAAAACTAGTTTTAGTAGTTATCATTTTGAATTTTTAAACAAAATATTTATCGTTGAGTCACTCTCGATAAATCTATATTATGGAATGAGAGATATACGATAATAACTTCAGAGATAGCTGCAATACTATATACATCAGTTTGATTCTCTTTTAACTCCCAGCTATTCATTAAAGCTAATCTTGTTAAGAAGATGTATTGAAAGAAACCAAAGAAGATTATTATGTTTATTTAGATTAATTCAATTCGTGTTGTTTACTTGAATTTTCCCATTGATGTTTAGGACTGCAATTTTTCAGTCTCCTATTGCCATATATACATAATGTGCATATTACCTCTATGTCGCCCTAATTCATAAGCATTATAAGCAAAGGTAGGTAGTGGCTAGTAGTGGAATCCAGGACAAAGCGCGTTTTGCCTCATTTAGAACTCGTCAGCCGGATGTACCTGCCCTTCAGAGTTCGTGTTCACTCTGGGACTCGAACCCAGTACCGTTCACTTCAAACGCCATCGCGTTATCCACTTAGCTACTGAGTCCTGATAGTCAATTATTAGGACGAAACACGTGTCCTGGATTCCACTACTATTACAACCGAAAGTTAGTGAATAGAATTCATAAAAGATTTGTTGAAGTTGTTTGAAACAGAATCATCTTGAATTGCTATGCAAAATAAAGTTTGATTTTCCCCTTCTCATCAATCAGTTAATTCTTATTTGTACCTTAGAAAATAGTATAATTACACAATATTTTCCTGATCTAGTTGAATTCAATACTGTTATGACCTTGGGTATGTCTGGTTTTACTATCACGCGACCTATCTACCAATCCGGATACGACTTATACGAATCTTCACACTAGGCCAACCAATGACGTTCAACCGGTGTGGGCAGTCTAGCGTCCTTATTGGTCCTATGTCTCCCGAGCCCTTCCACTTGAGTCCAGAACACAATACCAGCTTCGAATCAGAGCAGATCAGAGCAGATCGTTTATTTCAAACATACTCGGTTTATATATCAAACAGACAGACCACAACACACCATAAATTAGAAAATAACATATGTACACAAATAAGCCAAAAAGTGGCTGTGAACGAGGGGGACAGTAATTAATAGACTGAACATAACTCAAGAACCGTAAATCGTACAATAATAAATTATAGGTCAAAATAAAGCTTATAATAAGAGGAATATAAATACACATAATCTAATTATTGAATTGTTTTACAATAAGAATATTTATAGAATATTAGTCCACTAATAGTCCTCGGGAGTTACCTGTAATTTAATCTTCGCTCGGATATAACAAATACAGATCTCTGTTTTTTCTTTAATATTCTCAATAGTTGAAATCTAGTTCATTTATTTCATCTTAGCGAAATTAATCAAATTTTCTCTAGGTGATACATCCATTATTTCGGTCATGTTTCTTTGTTTTCAGAGGTTAAAATTCACTCAATAATTACTTATGCTTGTTACCCCCAAGGGAGCATAATCCGCCGACCAGCATTTTCCAACTCACTCTCTCCTGGGCTTTTCTATCTAGTTCTATCGAACTGTTGTTCATTCTTCTCATGTCTGTCTCCATTTCTCGGCGTAACATGTTGTTTGATCTACCTCTCTTCCTTTGGCCCTGAGGATTCCAAGTGAGGGCTTGCCCTATGACAGTTGGATACTTTCCTCAATATGTCTCCTACCCACTTCCAGAACTTTTTCCTAATTTCTTCCTCCACTGTTATCTGGTTTGTTCCCTCCTACAGTGGGTTGTTGCTTATAGTGTCTGGCCAACGGATTCGAAGTATTTTGCATGGACAATTGTTAATCAACACTTGTATCTTCTGAATGCTGGCTTTCGTAATTGTCCAAGTTTTTTCCCTATACATTAGAACTGTTTTTACATTTGTATTGAAAATTCTGACTCCGCCTGGATTCCCTCTGGGTCTACTGCCTGTCCCAATCCCGGGTAAAGGATGAGGGTTTTTCATGGTGTGAACGAAACCGTCCCGTACAAAACTAACTCACTAAAGAAATTATCAATATAGGGGTTATGGGGGTTATTAAGTTTCTGATTGCGATCATGAATTGATTGATGTTAGACCACCGATGGAACCCTGGATGCACTGGACGGCCGTTTCGTCCCATTGTGATGCTCCTCAGCTAATCAGAAAAAAATCATTCTAACCATTTAACTCTGTCTACAGAGTGAGAAGGTCTTCATTTAGAAGAGTTATAACTTCTCATGATGAAAGTCGAGTTCCTTCGGAAGTCATGAGGCTGATGCTCCTTCTGACAACCAGACCAACCATTAATCTAGGTACAATTAAAATTCATCGTGTAGTACAATTATCGGTTATGCTTTTTTTTGATGAATTATTATTTTTAACATCGTTTAAGCCCATTCTCTATCAAGATCATCGAAACTTACTGGTTTAGACCATTAACTAAATTTTCATCGCTCAATTCCTTTAAAGTCAACTTTACGTTGTACCAAGTTATCATTAATTATTAAACACACGACTAAACCATCCAGCTCAGAGAACAAAACTCCACCGAAATCATCTACCTGAGCTATAAATCTTTTCGATCAATTATTAAACATAATTTTGAAAGCTCAGTTAGTTTACTATTATGGCCTCACACCACATTATCTATTACGCCTTCAGTAACCTAACCAAGTGTATTCAATGTTAAGAAGTATACACCTTCAATCAAAAGGATCATTATTATAATCAAATTAAGTAATTCGGTTATTTTAAAGATCTTCATTGAATTGATTTAACAACAAGTGTAATACGTTAAATCTTTAATAGGTTTAAGTTTAAATTAAAAGTACCCACCAATATCTTGATATTGATCATTTCACTTGGTAATCGATTAGCTGTAAACATTTCAATCCTACAGAAGATCAGTTCAGATCCCGACAAGCTAATGGTATTGTTAGAAACTATTAACCTGGATGATATAGAGACCGAATGTTTATTATTTATTTATTTGAACACATAAATATTGGTACAATGGAGGGGGGCACCAAATATATAAATGCGCCACACCGAATGAGTTGGGTAGGCAGCACAAATTTCTTAACAATTACAAATGTCAAATAGCATAAAACTTAAATTCAATGTTTCATACTGATTGTCTAACATCCTGAAAGTGTATTTATATACTGTGAATGACGTGTATATATAATATAACGTGAATAAAATCAATCTAGAATAGAATAGAACGTGAGAAAATAATGACCTAATTACTTAGAAACGAATCAATAAAAATGAGCAATGACATAATCATAAAATTTACATAATCTAATAATTCAAAGTTAATTGTCATCTAAATGTTTAATCATAATTTGTTACTATGTATGTATTGCTTTTTCTTTTTATTATACATAGTACAAGATGATGGTCACGTGTTTAACTTTTACTTAAAGTACACTTTCCCGTGATCTCTCTCTCTCTCTCTCTTTACCTCTTTTATATACACGTTCCTTTTTGTACATGCTGTATAATGAATCAAATACCAAGTTTCTATAATAATAATAGTATATTGTATGTGTATAGAGTTACATCATCTTTTGTGTGCGGCTTGCGTTATGAACTCCTTTCATATTATAGTAAATCAACATGATACAGAAAAATGAAAAAAAAACAAAAACAACTTGTAATACAATTTTATCGATCTAATTAATAATTGTTAGTAGCTATTTTAATGATAATGATTAATGTGTGTTGGTGTTGGTGAATGAAGCATTATGATGATATAGTTATCAAATGTTTCATTAATAGTATGAATTATATATCAATAAATCATTTCTTCTCAATACACACTTGCATATATACTACATAGAGATGCATACATTGAGTAATATGTACGCATTCCTTTTAATACATCATTGTTATTCTCATCATGATGATGATGATGATGATGATTTGTATGAATATGTGGTAAATATGTTGAAAATTTCATGAAATGTTTAGTTTTATGATAATAATAATAATGAGTTAAATTAAATTTTCAATCAGTTATATTTAATCTTGTATGCTTTTAG